AACATTTTTAACATTTTTGCACAAGAAAACCATCCAATTAGAATCATCCGCTGCAATATCATAGCAGAATATATCATCGCAATTCCAAGTTTCCGGTTAATTTTCTTAAATCCATTCGTGATTAGAGGTAGCTCAAAACGAAGCCGAATTTGGATTTGCGTTGGTCCTTGGAAACGGTAAATCGAGAGTTATAGAAAGACAAACTAAATGGGTGGTGAAAAAATGATAATTCGACAAGTGATAAAATGAAACTACAAAATGAAGGTGCAAACATTTTTCATATTTTTTGGAATTAATTTATGCTTTTTCTGAAAAGGGGAGGTAGTGAATCATGCCTCAGTGAATTCCTTTCCAGGGACAAACAAAATAATTTTATCGCGATCTGCTACAGAGGACACTCCTCTGATATCACGAGGGAGACGTTTTCATAGTCCAACTATTCTATTCACAATAATAGCCTTCACATCAGTGGTACACTAAGGGTCTAACTTAGGGCCTCTCTGTTTGTGATCTTTTTTGATGACCTGCTTCTACACATAAATACACAGTAGATCTATTTGCTGACGATAAAACTTTAATAGCATCAGTAGACTATAAATGTATCGAGGAGCTGGAAGATATGAGGGATATGAGAGGTCTTGGATGTTGATTACTGGGCCACAGCCAATTAAGGAATTGCCATTAAATTCTTCAAAGACCAAGACAATACTTATCGGTTATGGAATCTTACTGCCTAAAAAGATCAGCGACCTTCCTACACTATCTGTGTTCAAGCAGCATATTCTACAGCTTGACCTAAATTCCTTGCGTGCTGACCCTCAGTGCTAAAATTTCACTCTATGTACTATTTTTACTAAGCTCATACGCACTTGAGAATAGTTTTTTTTTAAATTTTTTTGATTCAGTAATTGTGCACATGTGATAATCTTATAAATTTTACACTTCGGTCTCTAGTCAATAATGATACACTTGTAAATAGTTTTATTAATTTGACTTTAATGCTACAATAGTTGCTTATATTAATTTATAGCGTGTCCTCATTTAGTGGTTCCTCTACGGCTATGTTAGTTAGACACTCTAATAAAGGTATTGATTGATTGATCGATCAAAACAAGCCAGCTTACCACAAGGAAGAAGCAGCTCAATACTGAGTTAAATGGGACTCGACTAGAGCAAGTTGATAGCGTTAAGTTATCAGTGGGATTGAACTTGATCAGCAGCTTAGTTTTGATAGCCACGTAGATTCCCTGTCGAAGAAAATATCTAAGCGTACTCGCATATTGAATAGAATTAAGTCGTCGATCTTCCTAAAAGAGAACGTCTGTTATTCTACAACTTATTGAATAGGCAACTAATGCTGTCTTGTTGTATCTCTTGGACAGAGTGCAATAAGGATCACGTTAGTATGATTTTCAGGCTCCAGAAACGACGCACAAGAGTAATTCTGGATGCCAAGCCACGACATTCTACAATGGACCTGTTTATTAGGCTTAAGGTGGATTTCCACTATCGCGTAATTTTTTCGTGCGTACACAGGTTACCTTTGATCTCTGTATATGTTTTTAAAAATAATTAATACAGACATTTTCTGTCCTTTCAACAAAGGCAAACGCAATTGCCGTCATTTCAATTTACAATTCATTATGCCGTGTTTAGACTTTTCCTGTTTGCCCCCAAATTTGGCAGATTCTCGTTTCACCCCTAAGAAATACTAATTCCAAACAACAAGGCACTTACATTTTCCAACAGCGAAAAAGAATATCCATATTTTGCCTCTATACCGTAGGTACTACGGGGGGTGGAACCTCTCAGCATTTTTGTAGGGGAGCATCCCCCAAGGCAATGTTCCTACCAGACTTTCAAAGAAACCTTATTATTGTGGAGTTGCACGCAGTTTTGGGATCCTACTGATGAACGCTTACTGCAATTAGATATTCGTGAAGGAGCAGTAGTTGTTTGAGATCTGTCCATCAAGAATTAGTAACAATGTAGCTATGAATTTTCCACCAATGGCAAATAAGAAATAGTTGCAAAATTGCATCCAAAATAACGAATAAATCTATTAAATGTCCATGATGAAAAAAATATCATCTTTAGCAACTTAGAGCGAGGTTTCTAAGTTTTCAATCAGTCTTGATTTTTCTGAGATAAAACTGTTACTACGTTCTTAGCGGCAAAAAAATTCATTCTTTTCTAACTTGTGTAAATTCCTTTCTTAGGAGAAACAGTTGTTACTATATAATTGCAATTTATTCTTTAAATGTTTACTCAATTTGATTTTACCTGGAAGGAATATTACTTTAGGTCAGTAAAAAGTATTGTATTTAAAAAAAAAAAAGAAAAAGAAAAACTCACAGGATAATTTTCCCATNATTCCTTTCTTAGGAGAAACAGTTGTTACTATATAATTGCAATTTATTCTTTAAATGTTTACTCAATTTGATTTTACCTGGAAGGAATATTACTTTAGGTCAGTAAAAAGTATTGTATTTAAAAAAAAAAAAGAAAAAGAAAAACTCACAGGATAATTTTCCCATGACGCTGTCACTTCATCTCTCCTAACGTATTAGTTTTAGTTTTTAAGTTATCGTGTATTTGGACGACCACTCATCTCTTCCAGTTTAATATTTCGCCGTCCTAAAACAGGTGTAAGCCCAAGACCAACCTGGCGAGGCCAGGACCCCGCCCTTGTCACATCAGTATCAGGGAAATCTTTAAGACAATCATATCTGTCTTCAGTTTCGCCAGGGTTCTTCTCTACAGATGCCCCAGTGTACCGGATTTGTCGCTTTTGCCTATTGAGTATAGCTTGATCTTCATGGACGGATATGAGCCTGTTTTCTTCACGAGGTAGAACAAGGCTTTGCAGCGTTGTTGGCTCATTGGTAGAAAGGTTCTGATCATTATCATCATCAAAGTGACTTTCTTCCCTTTTTGTACTTACACTCGCCGCGGCTTTTGGTCTGTTTCCATACAGATGTCATCGTCCTCACCACACGATGAGATGGTTTTTTCTTTCTTTTGCTGTGGGGTGCGGTTAGAAGGGTTTTCGTCACTTCTTTCTTTACTTTGACTCAGATTCACTTCATTGGAGGTACCAGGAAACCGGAGCAATCGTGGCTTTCTTCTCTCGAGATTGGGCTGATGAACTTCGACGCAAATGACCGGGACTCCTTCAGTCGTTGCAGGTGGTGGGCTGTCGACAGCACCAGGAAGCTGACGACAAGGGTCAGCAAGCTCAATCGAATCACATGATCTCGATCTGGCAAGGCGGCCAGGCAGTTGGTTTTCTCCTTGAAACTCGTTTTCTTCCTCTAAGACCACAGCCGGTTCACGTCTTCTCCTGGTATGCCGTTTTACAGGTAACTTGGGACGTGATACAAGCTCTAGGACAAAATTCAGGTTAATCATCTCAAAAACCTCGTTTCTGAAGGTGCGATTCATGGAAAAGCAGTAAACTATTGGGTTGAAAAGAGAATTCATCTGGATCAACAACTGCGACCAACGAAAATATGAGCTTGTACGAAGAAAAGGAACAGCATCTCCAAAGAAAAGAACGATGATTGAAGGGACATACGAGACTAGCAAAGCCGCTGTGACTGTACTAGTCGCTTTGGCGATGGTCCTATCCATCCTGGCGTTGACTCGAGCAGAAACGTTGCTGATTTTGTTATCATTTAGTTTGCGAACTGACAAGTAAAGCGAGATGTAGAAATAACCGATAATGGCGACGCTTAGCACCGTTTTCCCAGCGGAGAAGATACTCAAGAGAGCTATGACTCTCTGATCGGCCTCAGCAACCCACAAAATAGGTATACAACAAGCTGTTGTGACAGCAAACAGCCAGGCAATCACTGCACAAATTTTGAGGCGGGTCTTTGTGACAACGATTTTGTAGCTCCTCCACCTCTTTATCGCTACGTAGCGATCCCAGGCAATGAAAGTCAAATGATACAAGGATGAACTAACAGCGCTGTAAAGCACTATTTGATTTGCACCTACAATCTTACAAATCGTAAGGCTCAAATTCTTACGGAGGAGAAGTATATCCAAAGCAGTAGTTAGAGGCATGGAAACCGCACCTACTAGAAGATCCGCAACGGCCATGCTAGCTAACAAAATGTTTGAGTTTTTTTGCAACGCTCTTCGCCTCCATACCGCAACGATAATTAAAAGGTTTAACAACACAGTGAAAGGGCTAGCGATGGATTTTGCGGTGATTGAAACATAGACGGCGGCCGTTTCAGTAAGAATCCATGTATAGATTGGTTTGGTCGGGCAAAAGTACACTAAAGGCGACTCACTTGGATCGATATTGTGTGAATCTGTTTCGTTTAAAATCATTTTTATGCTGATTTGATCACGGCGCGGACGGCTTGAAGTACTCACTGCTCAAATTAGTTTTACCACGATTGTCTCCTGACTGATTCGGTGTCCATGGTCGACATGTTCTGAGCGGAGCTCCCTGCAATGGGTTCTTAAACATCTCAAAGACGAGTGTGTTTTCAAATGCTAGTTGTTTGCAAAATTTTATCGCATTTATCATGAAGATTGACGAAAAGTTAAATAGAGGAAATGACGCATGTGACTTGCAACGGACACGTTAAACACGTACCTTAATGAGGATCCATTAGTAACCTATGTTGTTTTCTCTGATGTAGAACATATTGCGCGAACTTACAACAAATAACAGACACAAAGCTACCTTAAAAAGACTGAAGCCAGTGAAAAAAAAAATGGTTTGCTTTTTGAAACGCAGTGTTTAAAGCACCCAAACAAATTGCTTTCCAATAACATTTAAAAGCAGCATTAAACAGTAAGTTTTCGACAAAAAAGAAGAGCTTGTAAAAAAGGGGAACAGGAAGCTTTTCCTCACAACTACGAAAAAGGTAGCGGTCTCAGTTGTGCTTTACTAATTTCGTGTGCGGTTTCGCAAAGATTTGCATGACTTACACACATACAAAAAAAAATTACGAAAATAATCAAAACGACCAAAACTATCACTTCTTTCATATCGCTTCGTTTTCGAAACCTTTCATTAGTCATTCATTCATGAATCGTCTTAATTCGTGCTATCGAAATGTTCCACCCTGAAAGACATACCCTCTTTACTTCGTTAACACTTTTCAATCCGTTTTTTGTGGAATCGTGTCAAACTGTATCAGGAAGTGGGTTTGCAAAAAACAAAAACAAAAACAAAATTCAAACGAGCAATTATGGAAGAGGCGTTGTTTTCCCTAACTTTCAACCAGTGTTATGGAACATGATGAACACATTTTGGAGAGATTATGGAAGAATATTTGACAATTTCACTTCGATCGACATCCAGAAACCACAATAATACGACTGACAGGTTTTTGTAAACTTAATGGGCGCGGTGTCTAGCCTTTCTCGCGTGGGGCGATTTTCAAGGGGGCTAGCGTGATTTGCTCGCTCTGCTATCCTTGAAGGAACAGTACAAGCAAAAACAAGGGACTAGTCGAAGTCTATTTTATTTAATTTATAATTATTTATAAAAATTATTTTTAAAGGTTTCCTTGCGTTCTCACTTTATTCAGTTAATTAAGAAAAAAAAAAAACAACAGAAAAGCAACAACAACAAAGACCTTATCCAGGCACATCCTACTCTTGATCTCGAAGGTGTTAATTATCGCTTCAGCGCTCCACAGATAAAAATAGGCGGTTTCTAAGAGCAAGAGGGGAAAAGCTCTTTTAAAGTTAAATTCAACAGTTTTGTTTCGATTTCTATGATCAAAAAGCTCTTATCTCCAGAAATCGCTGGCTCATTAATTTATCCCCCCCGAAAAAGAGGAAACAAATCACTGTTCAGTTTACGATTCGAATAAATAATGAAGAGAAGAGAAAAAAAACACACTACACTGTCAAGGTTACACGCTTTTGCTATACATTAAGATGAATGCTATACGCGAAATAAGGTCTGTTTCTGATATTTCCTTTGTTCTTCCCCGTTTGTTTTTCTTTATCACTGACTGCATTTTGCGTAATGAGCAATGTTCGATTATTTCCATTATTATACATTGTAGTCACCATCTGTCTTCTCATTGGCTAAAAGCCTACAGTTAATTCTGGGAAACAGTGCAACCTACAGATTATTCACTAATCTGTACCTACAGATTAGTGAATAAT